TGAATACAACTGCGGAGTAGTGTTAGACTTCTTACCTAACCTAAAATCTAACCATATTATATATAATTTTCATATACTTACTGTATATAATCTTCATATATTTATTTCTAAATTCGTTTGCATATTTTAAGAAATTTCATTCTTCCAAATATTTCACGGTTTCAGCGTTTATTCTTTTATAGCACCGATGTCTTTACAAATTAGTATAGATGAAAAAGGAAACGTCGCAGCGAATAACAATTAACTATCGCATCAATAGTATCACACATCTAGAGAGAATTACCAAACTGTCTAGATGTCTACAACTAAATGTCTCGGTATTGACTATCAGATGCGTCGAGGCATCGTAATCAAAATATTGGATATGTGAATCAGATATCGTATATAAATTCACCATATTACTTTCATAAAACAAGTACAGTGTCATTCACCAAGCCATTTCTCTCAGTGCATATAATATTTTGTTAAGAATCAATATTTGTGGACACACTTTTTCCAGAGATCTAGAAGAACCTCAGTTGCAAAATAGCAGCTCAATAAAATCGAAGTCTGCAAATAGATTAATGCTATTTATAAATGTCCCCGGAGCTTTTGCAAAATTTGGTAGACGATCGAATATTCGTTCGAGTCTCACAGATCCAACCACGTTGCACGTGGAGGGACTTTTCATAACGATATTTATTAACCGACTCTTATACAACGGCGTTCAAAGATCAAATACGCGTATATGTGAGAAAAAAATTTTGCCAATCATCTGCCAACTCGAGGCTTCCGCCTTTCAAGAATGACGATTCGCGAACAGACGATCGATGATGCCGGCGTCCCCCATCGAGATTCCAGAAACAATTCCCATCATACCGTCGCCTCGTCGGTCTCCGGGGATTCCAAAAAAGCGCGTTCGTCATCGTCGCATATCCCGACGATAGCGCATTCAAATAAAGGCGAGGCCGGCCGGTGCGCTCCCCGTGAGCTGGTGACAAGGCCTGACGCTACCCGCTTTTGATGTCGCCGCCGCTGTCGGCATCTGATTAGCATCCTCCTTCTCCTTCCGCCGCGTTCCACCTTGCTCCACTTCCCCGTTCGCCAGGAGGAACACCGCCGTAGAGCGGAAAGAATAGCGACGGATCGCGACGCAGTGGATATCAGGAGAGAGGGGAATGTGTGGAAGAGTCCGCGACGTCACTCTGGACCGTTGACTGAGCCACGTCTCTCCTCGTTCGTCCATCTAGCTCGTCTCTAACCTTTCCTTTGGTGACAGCGACAAACAGGAAACGAGAGGGACGAGGGGAAAGCGCGCCGCTCTGAGTTATTCTTGCCGGTACCTCTCTCTCTCTCTCTCTCTCTCTCTCTCTCCCCCTCCCTCTTTCTCTCTTTCCCCCCACTCTTTCTTTCTTGAGTCGAGCCGCGGCGACATCATTTAAATGTTCCTTTGCGGAGCGCATCCGCGAGTTTTTAGTCCCTCATCTCCGAGAAGCCAACGGCCCTGGACAACCAGGAATACGAGAACAGCTTAGAGATCGAGCTGGTATGAGACGAATACCGGCAGAGAGACATAGAAGTGACTAGTTTTCCTCGAGATTCTTCAGCATCGCGGCCTGTACTCGTACAGTGGAAATTAACCTTTTGGTAGGCGCGCGCGTTTTTATCTTTGATGAATGAATTAGGGGTTCTTTTGGTGTCTACCACTGTAGATATATATATTTTTTAAATTCATATAATATGAACAATAGACTATATACAAAGCAACGATCTTTGCTGATCTATTTTTAGTAACGTATAGTATTCAAAGTACACCTGTAAACCACACGTCTAATAAAGGGTTGAAACGTTGATCACTTACGTCTGAAACAGCAATCACACTCGCGTCCACCAGACTCAACCCAATCATCATGCCTGGATATCAGTGCTTATTCTTAATTTTCAACTCAAACGTATCATCGCGGAGATTAAGAACCTTCTTTGGACTCTCCTGTTTTGTTTGCTTGGAGGATTTCGTCTCGTGTACCAACGTCGTTGACTAACAGCAATGACACTGCATTCCGAGTGCTCTCGAATCGACGGCCGGGGGAGACGAGGAGCGTTTAACCGCGTCTTCGGTAATTGTCATTTCTGGCCAGCTTGACATACCTACCGCGCCCTGAGCAGCCCTCGTTCTCCTCATAATAATATGCGACCGCGGCAGCGGTGTCTTCTGTGTCTTCGACGGGTCCGGAGTTCCAGTCGGGGGCCCGGTCGCCTAATAAAACGATCGTCGATTATCGTGCAATTATGCCGTCTCATTAATCCACCGGCAATTATGCTCCCTCCGCCTGTCTCCTGCCCCTCTCCTTGCCAGCGCGCCTAACTCCATCCATCTCGCTCTGTAGCTTCGATCGCCACGACGATCGTCGCGTCCTGCTCCTCGCTTAGGCTCCTGGGGTTCACCTATATCGTTCATCCTGCTCTCTTCTTCCGCAGTCGCGAAGCTCTCGCGAGGGGGAGAGCGGCAGAACCTTATCCGCCAGTTTCATAACTTATGAACGTCGACGCGCACATGCAGCAATGTTGGGACAAGCGCCGACGTCGTTCCTCCCGTCGTCGGAAGCGGCAATTACACCCTACTTGGAACCAAAGGACTCGCCCGGCCGCTCTTTTTTTCCCGACTGACGCGCCGGGAGCGGAAAGACACGGCGACGGAGCGGAGAAAGGACGCGGGTAAAAAAGCTCTTATCAGTATCGCGGATTCGACTCCAAGGTAGATTATTTTCAGGACATTTTCAGAAACACCTTCACGGTTCTGCTTCTTACGCGACCATCTTTCTTGTCTTCAAAGCATACGTAATACCTTGCATACGTCTCTAATTACCGACTTGTGATGATTACCGTGGTAGGATTACCGGTCGATTTCTTCCGCGAGGAATACGTTTCTTTGGCGACGCATACAAAGTAGAAGAATACGAAGAAGCGGAGATCTTCTTAACGGCTTTCGCGATGATTGAAAAAAATATCCTGCCGACGATGACGCTTCGAGTCTTTCCTCCATCGGTTGGTAGCGGAGTAACGTTGGCGGCGGCGATACTTTTGCCACGATGTAGATTTGTTTGCATTTAAAAATCAAATCGACCGTATACCCTCCTCCTCACCACCCTCTCTCTTTTCTCGGTAGGGAGCATTGCCGAGGGGGAGGTTGGTATGCGTGGCTCTACCGATGGAACACAGAAATACTCTCTGTTCCTCTCTGCTGCTCTCGCTTCGCCGGCCAGTTCTGGTCTCTCGTTCTCTCTCCTCCTGTTTCCTTTGCTCTCTCCCTCCCCCCAAGCTCTCAGTTGGGGACAATGCACGCCAGTTTTTGCGTCGTTTGCTTCCACGGAGACGGACGATGGATCTGCAGGCAGCTCCACCGCTCTTCTCCCCGTTTTCCTCCATCCTCTTTCTCGCCCCTTCAGCCCCCTATCTCTTCTTCTGCTTCCTCTTTCTTCGTCCGCGACGTCGTTGCTTTCTCTCCTTCTTTCCGCGACGTCTTCCTCGCCCTACGCCTCGCGGCTTCTCTTTTTCTTGCCTCGAGCTCGGCAGAGAGGACTCTCGGCTCGGGCTCAACCCCTCGCATACAATGAAACCGAAAATCTCCGCGGCACTCGGGGAATGCGGCGCATGATTACCTACATCGAAACGAAGAACCGACCGGCAAGAAGAAGCGCCGCGCGCTCTCTTTCTTCCTCTATCTCCCTGCCTGTCCGAGACAACGCGGCACTTCCACCTTGTGGAGCGAGAACGGCGAGAATCGAGTTCCGCGATCGAACGTCGTCCTCGTCGGCGACGTCGCGGAACGATGAGCTTACTTCCGAAGCTGATACAACGGTGAGTTTCGTTTTTTGGACGATCAAACTTATTGCAAAGAGCAGCATTTAATAAAGTGATTGTCGATAGTTCCATGTGGAATTTTTTCTAGAACGTTTCACCAACTCGCAAATTATATCATATTAACATGGCGTTGATCTTCAGTATTTTCCGCGAGATCTATCTCGCATAAATCAATTAAAGCCGACTGGTACGGAGAAGGCTGCTTGACCAGACTGGAAGAAAGCCAGACGAAATGAATCGACGAAAACCTATCGTCACTCACGTCAATGGTGCAGACGTTGGGTGCGGCGAACGAGCACGCGACATCTCCACCGTCTCGTGACCGTGAACCGTTAAGATCGCGGGAGATCGATCTATCGTGATATATTTGCCGTACGATCACCCGAGATCGTGGATCGATCGGAACGACGTGCTGAAACTTAGAAGAAATATCTTTTAACGCGTGTGAAAGTCTAATTTTATTTCCCTATTTATTACTATAAATTTAATCGTACCTCGTTATACCACAAATATTATTATTTGTTAGCAATTTACTTACGTTATTCACATTTGGCAACAGTTTCAACGATGTACATTTAGAATTTGTACAGAGAATTGCAAAATTTGGACAATGAAGTTGAGCTCATTAAACGGTCAAAATTGAGAGTCACTGCTGACGGGTTCTTAATTAAATTAACGGGTTATTAATTTGCTAACGGGTTATTAATTAAAATTCTTAATAACAATAATAGTTATATTATCATTACTTATTATTTCTAATTGTATTGTTAATTATATTATTATGGCGCGAGTCCATCGGCAATCACTCTCAATTTTCACAGTTTGGCGAGCTCCCAATTTCCTTGTTTTGCAACCCACTATACACACGTTTAACTAGTGCTAGTGAATTCAATTATATACCGCAAGAAACGCAATCTCGATTGAATATTCTTTTTTAATCGCAAATCAATAGACAGACAGAAGCTTCTCAGTGGGCGCTCGCTGTTTGAGAAGCTCGCAGCTTGTGCGCTGTAGCGCAATTATGCGCACAGGGGACTCTTACCGCGCAGAAAAAGATGACGGATGCATCAGCGTACGCGATGCAGCTCGCTTGCGCAGGCGGAAGATATGAATTTCAAATTTCACCGCGCCGCTGGGATTTTTGTCTGAATTTCGTTGACTTAATTTCATATCCAATTAGATTGCATCGGATTGCACCAGTATATAAAAACCGCGTTCACCCGTTTGCAATTATTCTTCTCTCCAAACATGCAACCGAAAGTATACTATTGTAGGACGATTTGTCTCTCGTTTGAACTTCAAGGGGATGCCGTACTTGAGAACTTTATCGACAAAATACTGATTCTTTTTTGCCAAATTTATGTCGTATTGGTTACACAGAATTACACATATTTTACACAACGAAAGTATGCGCTAAAGAAAATCAACTAGAGCGTTGCTCAATATATGATGGAAATCATAAAAGTTTCAAAATTAACATTTTGAGCTGTCAGCGTAAAAATTTGTCTGATGCAAAAGTTGTATAACTTATGTATATTTGCTCTGCTCAAGAAAACTTCGAAGCACCTTGCTGTACCTTTACAACTGAATATAAATTATGAAAAGTTTACAAAAAATTGCAGAAGTTCGCAAAAAGATTTCTATATTTGGTATATGTGCGTGGTTATGTTTTTCTCTAAACATGGTAAAACAAAGCAAAAAAAATTTATATAAAATCTATATGTACAAGAAATATGAAAAGAATAACGTTAACGACGATCACTTTTATACGTTATCTCGACGTTATTTTTGGAATTCGCAAACCGCTTTGACATCTCCGTAAGAATAGGTATTTAAAATACGTTCTATTAACATATGTGGATTAATATTCAGTATCTTTTCGTAGTTTCTTCAGTAATTTCGCACATGATATGGTCATGAAAATTCATTTTTATCTCGGAACAACGTAATTGACGTGTGTGCCGGGAAATCGTATTATTTCCGCAGTCGAGGCGATAACGTACAACTAAATGTTACATTCTTACGAACATAGTCTTACGGATGCGCGTAAGGAAGCATTTTATGTGATTCTTCGCATTATATGTCAGGATTTTCTTGGGAACAGAGCGATTACGCTTTGTCGGTGCTTAAATTATAGATCGCGTAGCTCGACGGATCTAACATCGAAAGTCTAAGAATACGCCGGTCATGCTATCCGCGTTGCTTCCCTCCTTATTGTGAATTAAATGCACATTAACCCTAGAATCGCGCGGCATGCGATTACGATCAGGAGTCGCGCTAATTAAAGGCGTGGAAGGCGAGGTCGTTCACTAAACAATTCACATGTATATTTAAGCAAATAACCATCGTCTGCATTATTTTTCATTTTCGCCGATCTCTCACGCCTACGATTTCCTCCCGAGGCGTATCTACGCGAATTACTTGTAAAATCGGCGGCGCGATTGATCGAAACCGGAAGCACCGAGCATCGCGGCGTTGTTGAGTCTATTTTTGAAATTAAATATGGATTGTTCGCAAGTGTGTGTGTGTATGAAAAGGGCACGCAATGATTTTTTTTCGTGAAAACACGAATTCTATTAAGCAGAGATACACTGTTCCGCATTTGAGCTCCAGTATTTACCGTGAGAAAAGAATGTATATGATAGTGAACAATTATATTATAATTGCAATCGAAAGCGCTTATTCTCTGTCGGGAAGCTTGCCCTTTGCGACATAAAGCCCTCGCGAAATAATCGATTCAAATGATCGGCGAGGTTGTTCGAATCGGCAGCCGAGTTTCGTCTTCGTGGGTTATCGATTAACAAGGCGAGGCGATGAAAGAGTTCGATGAAATAATGATGGGACCAGGTCGATAAATAGTACGCCTCTGCTTCGGAGCTCTCAGGGGCGGAGTGATTCGGGTGGAGGGGCGATCGGAGGGGCCCTTCGGGGCCCGCGCTAATGCCAGCTGAGAGAAGACAGCTATCAAAAGCCCGTATTTAAATATTATCAATGAAATTACAGTGCTCACTGCTCGCGCAGTCTGCTCAGTCATTACGGACTGGCAATTCGGGCTCTTTAATCGCCGTTGTCAATACTAATCGACATCGTCGTTATTTAATATGCTCCGTCCCATTTTTCTTTTACGGACCCGCCGAGCCATCCGCCGTTTTCGCTCTTTTCTGCCACTCTGCAGCTGAAAATGATCCGGATTATTCGCGGATTGTTCGCGCGAAGAGCACGAATCAAACAGATATTACGTTATTTCATGTGCAAATGTACATTTACTACTATTTTCTACAATTATGTAATATATTTCGTGTGCAAAGTACATTTCCTACTGTTACAATTATTATTGTAAATCGGCGAGAGCTGGCATACAGTGGTAGAACTGAAGAAATACACACACAACTACGTATTCGTACAGAATAGCAAATGAACTTCATCCTCCGTTACTTCGTTCTATAACGCTAATTACAATATTAATTGTGCCTGTAATTAATAAATTTACATTAATAAACGCTTCCTAACGCACACTTTTTATCAGACAGCTGACCAGAGAAAAAACCGAGTTTGTTACGTAACAAGAGTGCATAACTGGGGCGATAGTTGCCGTCGTTACGTATTTCTTCGAGTTTCCAAATCCATCGTCCGTTGGACAGTAATTGTGAGCTCGCAATTAGTAACCGGTACGGCAAATAATATCGGCGTTGCTATCTGCATTAAGTGTCATTAGCATACCGGCGAACGGAGCAACGATTGAAGGGGAGAGGGAATAATTAAGCCGCTATGATCGTTATCTAAATAATTAGGACTTGGCGTGACTCTCTGCGTGCCGCTGTGCAACGCATGTACGCGAACTGTCAGATCGTAGATCTCGTGAAGCGCGGGCATAATTAGGTGAGAGATATGAACGCGAGACTCGCGTATTTAAATTGTTGCGAGGAAACCGTGTGTCCAAACCGCGCGTAAACGGAAGGAATTTTGTCTGACTAGCTGAAAGACCAGATATGCGATGAATCGAGGATGTATAAATTTACATTCGTAATTGGTCATAGTCACGCAAGAATGATCCAGATTACAAAATTACGACTTTTGAGTTTTTGTTTTTTATTTTCACATTTCTTTTTACTTTTACGCGTTTTTATTTACACGTTTTTTCACTAGTTATGTCATTTTTTAATAGTTGCGTCCTCTTTACCTATTTTTTAAAGAACTAATCTTGTCAATGAACACCCTTAAAGAGAAAAAAATTGATCATGCTTGACTTCTTGAACGATTGCAAAGAGAAACTTGGTGTTATATATATTTCTGAAATCATGTATTAAATGTTTATCTCCATTATTAATTTTTATTTCTTATCAATTTTATTGGAAACATACTTCATGTGGATTGCATAACTACGATCAATTTATATTCTATAAAGATAACATATGTGTAGTTTGGAAATTTGAAGTTTGCACTTCTGAGAAGAGAGAGAGTTACATCTAAATTTTTATACAATACTAAGACCGATTTTAAGCGTGAAGGAAGCAATGCTTGAATAATCACTTTGTCTGGAAATTATTTCACTCCCACTGCTCCGTGCTTCATAAATAATGTAAATATTTAGTTGTTCTTCTAAATCACACATACACACACACATTATATGTACTCTTTTAAATAAGGTTGAAATTAGATTATGTATTGAAAGGAAGACAACGAGCTGTGCGCCTCTTATCTAAGTTGTCAGTGAGTCAGACGAAATTGTAACGGTCTACTTACGCGTACGCTTTCGAGCAAGATTGCATAATCTATCTATGAATCTTTCATAAGTCTCCGCGGCCGCCGTTTCTATTGTAAAAAATAATCGTTAAACGAGCCCTCGCATTCGGGAAAAGTTTTTCTTCCTTTCTTGCTATTCAGCGTGGTTTATCGCGATCTGGCACGTTATGAAACGCGTAGGTGCAATCATAATTATAATTATCTATTTCGAGCCGATTCCTGCACACGGGAAACTATGGTTGATTGTCATAGCATGACAACAGAATGTACGAATTACTTCAGACAGAATTTCTGTCCATATACGTAACGGTATATACATTCAACATTTCCGTCGCAACACGCTATCCTCACACAACTCACACAACTAATTATCTAAGTTCAGGGAAATATGGGAAGTTTGAATGATAAGAGGCCGAAACACGCGGTCATATACCAAATGATTCATTTAAAAAGATTTCTTCACTCGATATATTATTTCAAGGATCAACGTGAGACATCGTATCGTGAAATGTGTATTCAATTTTCTAAAATATCATCTTCCCACATTTTATTAAAAACTATGTGCAATTAGCAAAAATATACTTGGAAATGCGTACTTGCACATTGTTTTATCTCTCTTCCGCGTTAACTTCCCTTAAAAAGTCTCTATTATTTAACGCACAATGTAAATCGCGAGGAAGTTTTTTTTTTTAACTTTTTGCCGGGCCGAAATAGAGAAACGAGGTCAAAAGGCGGGTACGTGTCGGCACTGTCAAAGAGTTTAGCCGCAAGGCACGCGAATCGCAGATGCGATCTGATAAGAAGCGAAGCATCTCAGATTACTGGCGTACAAGCCCCCGCTGTGTCCACGCACCTTAAAGCACCATTCTCACGTGCGGCGACATAAGCGGAGCCCACGTGCTCGAGATACTCTCGAGACAGCCGTCAAAGAGACGTTACATTAGTATCGCAGGTAATTACGTGTACATTCTACATTTACGAGCTTATTGACATCTATTATGATAATCCCTAACCTCAAACGATTACGCGGATACACTTCCCGACAATTAAAATAAAATCGTTGCTTTAAAAGCGGCAATACCCGTTGAAAAAGTAAATAATTACTTACAGAGGACTGTTACGTCCTGGGAGTTGCATTAATTCCGCTGCGCCGTTCGATGATCCCGGCGGTCACGTTCGAGCAATATCGAATAAAGACTGTGATTATATACGATACGTTGATGACGAACCTAAGCCGACCTATCCGGCGAGCCGGCAGGCAGCTCTGAGCTCGAAACCAATCCGTATTGAGTCGGTCCAGTCTGGGATTAATCGGTGTTTTGTTCTGCGGCGAAGTGCTTATTAAGGCCATGCCTTATTAAGCTTCACGGGCATGCAAACACGGACGGGATCCGTGAGGATAGATTTGATCACGAATGAAATGGCGGCGGCGGCTATTGTATCTTGAACCAACCAAGGAACGAGTCTTATTATAAGCGATCGTGACCGACGATAATTAAATTAATTGTGCGAGCAACATCTACGCCTCGAAAATCCTGTCATATGCAATTCGCAGAAAAATATAAATCTTTTCGACGCATCTTCATCTTCGAGCCATTTGTGTGAGTTCAAAAAACGTCTTAATATCTTTTCGAAATGCGAGCATTTCGAAATAATTGCAACAGCTAAATCTTTGCAAACTCAAACTCTCGGTAGATTTGTGAAGTTTTCAGTTTCAACGAATTGTCGGGTAAGGTCGTGCACCTGTGCGACTTTAATTGATATCTTTCGCCGTACTGACGTCTGCAGACGTCACACTTGTAAGGCTTCTCGCCGACGTGCGTGTAAATGTGATTCGCGAGTTTCGTCTTCACGGCGAAGCGCAACTTGCAGAAGTCGCACTCGAATCGTTTTATGCCAGTATGACGATATCTGTGCACTTTCAGGCCCCAAGATCTTCTGTAGCTCTTGCCGCAATCTTCGCACTTATACGGCTTGATGCCTGCAAATTGAAACTATATTACAAATTTGTTTACAGTTACATTAACATTACATAATATTTTGCATGCAAATATTTTTTTACTTTCTAATTCATCACGAGATTCAGTCACGTGATCGAGTTTGTTACTCTGACTCCATGAGACTCTCTAATTCTACTGCATACGGAAATATATATTGCAATGTATATTTTGGAATATACATTGCACTTTTACTAATTTTTTTCTAACATTTCGTCAAACAAAATTTTGACACAATAAAGAGATACGCGGTTAATGTTATATAGATACAAATCATCCGCAAATTAGTAATTACTAAGTTGTCTGTACGCAAAGTATAAATCGTACGGTGCTACATTAATAACTATAATATCTTTGAATTCGTAGAAGAATGAATTTTTGAAGTAACAGAGTCGACTCGCGGCGAAGAGGAAAGGAACTCCTTTACAAGTTCACCTCGGTTAGACAGAGGTTAATTAAAAGTCCGAAATACATTTCCGCTACGGAACGCCCAGGTCGCACGAGAAGCGCGAATGCAGCATTTGAGCGCGTTAAAACACGCGTTTATGCGCGTGATCATTTATACGGCTTTGAGCAAACGAAGCTTCCGATTATCTGTGAAACGTTCCTTTGTCCGCGATCATTATTTCACAGAGTGAACGCTTCGCTGGATTTATATGAGAGAAGCTGGATTCGTCCAGAGGTGGAAGCCGAGGGATAAGGGATAAAAATAATAAACGGCGTGATCTCGTGCGGCATTATGTCCTAATCAGGCAGATACGTTCGGCTTCCTACCGTGCGCTAGTTGTGAGAATATTCACAAGCCCTCACCGTAATGCGCCAGTATGTGGTGCTTCAGTGCGCCTTTCAGGTGGAAACGATGCTTGCAGATGTCGCACTCGAATCTTCTCACGCCCGTGTGCGTCAGCTTGTGCGTCTTCAGCACCGACGATCTCTTGAACTTCGCCGGGCAGAGATCGCACGCGAACGGCGAGTCCGCGGTGTGGACGACCATGTGGGTCTTGAGACTGCTGGACCTCAGGAAGCTCTTGCCGCAGGTCGTGCACTCATACGGCCTCGCGTTACCGTGCGTCAGTTTATGACAGTGCAGCGACTGCTGGTGGAGACATTTTTTCCCGCAAACGGAACAGTCGAAGGTTCTTCTTTCGGGGTGTACCTCGGCCTGGTGCTTCCTCAGCGCGCATTTCCTCTGATAAAACCGTCAGACTTAATTATTGTTCTCCGCCTCGGCAGGCAGATACTTCTTAAGAATATCGTAAGAAGCATAGCGCAGTATAGTATAGTTTTGTAGTTTCATATATTTTTGTACTCATAAATATCACTGTTCTCGTCCTATTAACGGCACTAGCTCTGATTTGCCTTTATTTTATATTTGCGATCATAAGAAACACAAGAGATACTTAAGAAAACGTCTCGAAGAAGCACTCGAATCTTTAACGCGTCTTTTGGGTATCTGTTAATCGCGCGTGTCCCGATTTTATTAATTTCTTTTCTTTTTTTATGGATTATTTGACATATTAGATAGATGGATCGTAATTTTGCGTGCAACGGGGTATTTTACTAAATATCTATTAGACTGAACGGATGGGGTAAGTATAGCAATTTGTGCAGCAAAGAGTTCGAAGGGATCTGACATCAAGACGATGATATCTACGAGTTGTTATTAGCATTAACTACCTGAAATTGAAGCTCACATTGTCTGCACGCGAAAGACTTCGGAATGAAATGCATATGCAGGTGATCCCTTAGGGTTGTCGATCTTGATGGGAGTGTAATTGCGTTATTAGTAATAAGTACTATGTAGCGGTAAGGATTGTTCCGGACTAATAAAGAAGTAACAACATTTGAATATTTGTGTCGAACTGACTACACACGCATAATGACGTCCGTATCTTAAATATGCACACGTGTGAAAGTATTATGAGAAATTGAAATTGCATGTAAAACCGTATATTCTTCACTGTATCCTGTTCTAAATGCAAATTAGTAATTTTAATTGATACAATTTCTTCTACTATCCACAAATGATATCTCTAACGTCTTCTTTATTATATTTATTTATATTTATTATATTTATGATTATTTAATTGTGGTAATAATATGATAAATAATGCGAAATTATAAAGTAAATTTTGTCACATATCATTTTGGCATTCTTCTTACCTTGGGAATTGTTTCCAGCAAAATTTGCACTGGAAAAGTTTCCCATGACTGTGTCCAATTATGTGAGCTTTGAATTCGACCTTGTTCGGAAATTCGATCTTGCAGACGCTGCACATTAAAAGCTTTCCTCTTGTCAGTGCCACGATGTATTCCTTTAAGTCAGTGTCCTCGTCCATTTGTCTTCGAGAAAGTGAAACGCTTGCATTTTCCCGACAGTCTGATACTGGGGTTTGTTCGGAATTTTCATGGCGCGATACTTCTTCCGTCGATTCGTTCTTGACGTGCTGTCCGATATCCAGCTCATCGTTAGCCGAGAAATTCTCGATCTCGTCCAGGACCTCGGTCTTTATCTTAATCTTCGGAAAAAGAGGAAATCGACTATTATTATCGTTAAAGCAATATGCGCGTAAGGTAAAATGTAGCGATCACTTGGAACAGAATAAATGATATTATCGGCACGCATTATCTCACCATCTCTTGCTTTTCAGTTCATCTATCTATTATTTTTTGCTAATAGCGATTTTATCTGTCTCTTTTCTCTCGAAGACTCGGATAAGATTGTCGTGTTTATATTAAGATTAATGCTAGGTAAATAAAGTCAAATGAAGCGAATGTCCACACTTGGCGCTAAATGGAGCACAAAATAGAGAATTAAGAATAAAGTGTTATAACACTTGTAACCTAAAGGGGGTAAATACGCGAGTCAAGACGTACTTCGCGGCAAGTCTTGCAAGGTTTCTTGTTGCCGATGATCACCACATTCTCCGTGTCAGAGATGACTCGATTCTGCTGAGAATGACTCCCGATAGTAAAACTGTTATTCTCCATCGTGCTCTTTCGCGGAATTCATATATTCTCTCGCACTGAGAAAGGATCACGAAATGTCCAAACGAAATATAACGTTATGTACGCGACAGACATCAAACTAACGAAACAATCGAGAGCAACGGATATGTCTGTCTTCTCGGAGTTTGCATGTCTCAAAGTATACTCAGAAACATCACTCTGAAGTGAATCAGAGAACAATGCGCTCAAGATGTTTCTATGGTGTTTCATGGAACGCGAATATATTTACTGAAAGATGAAATCTACGAGTCTTGATATTTTGAAAGCGGTGAATTTTAATTATTTCTTCACCCAATTAATAATATCTGATGTAATTTGGAAGTAAATTTCAAGGTAAGCATATGTCATATTTATTTTGTCTGTATTCCGATGATATTTCTTCTATTTTCTCTGCTTTATATCAAAGCGATGTTATTGAACTCGGCCTTGATAGTCTCCTCTGTGCGCCGAAATGTTCGCAAGGATACTTAAAAAACGGCGAGACGAGAGGAAATGCATCGCGGCGAGGTTTTATCACTTTATACTAATTGGACGGTTTCGGCACTAATTTATTCGGATTATTAATCCAATTACCAGCGAAGATCCAATTATGGAATCAGTACGCCATTAAGTTATCTATCCCTATTGGTCGGAGGTAACTATGTTAAGACCTCATGTGGATTAATTACAAAAGTTACGAAGAATCCGGCATGATATTTTATTACCACGTGAATTATGGGTATAATAGCAGCGAAACATAAGTTATGTTGTGGCTCAAGGTAAATATGTATAAGCCAAAAGAAGATAATCAGATGAGGGTGCATCGTTGCGCTTTTGACTTAACGAATGGCCGGGAAGATGCAAAGATATGTCCGCGCTCTGCGCATATTACCGAACGCCGCGCGATTATCGATAGTCTACGAAGCCGGTCTGCAATGTATGCAGACCGATATGTGGTTGAACAGCTAATTAAAGTAGAAAATACGGTAGCGAGATAAAACATGTGCGGAATCTTGTAAGATCCGTCACGGAACCGCAGTGAAATATTCTCGATTGTATTCGTGCAGAAAAGATACATAGAAAAAAATATCATTCCATTGCTAAAAAAAGTGATTACTCAATTTACTTTTCTTCTTTCAATAATGCATTATTATCTTCAGCAAAGAATATTTTTTTGATGAGTCTTAACAAAAAAATATATATATTTTTTTATATAATTATTTTTGGGTATATAATGAAGAACTTTTTTTCTCAAATTTGTGGGATAAATAAATAAATAAATAAATACATATATTATATTATATAGTATATATATTCATCCCAAATTTTAGAAAAAAAATTCTTCATTATGTACTTAAAAAAAGAATTTATTGTCTTTGCAAGAGTATTATAAAACTTTATTGAGGAAAAATTTGGTTCGATTCTATGCTTATTTTTAATAAACAAATCAATTATTTATTTTAATTTTATATTCTTAATTAAAATCTTAAAACTGCTAGAATTAAAAATGTATTTTAAACAAATTTCATGCTTATGAAGTTATAGTGAGATTATGATTGATTTGCGGATATATAAACCTATGAAATACTTGAACAAGTATCATTTACTTGAATGCACTATAAATTTTCTGTGTTTACGAAAGCAAGCGCGGGCATCGGTTACTTCAAGTTGTATTCAGCGTAATTAGCGGTCACTGCCGACTTGCTGTCCGTTTGCATAGAACAGTGTAATTGAATGAAATTAGAGGAAACGAGTTGCGCGTATTCCGTACTGCACTCGCACTTTACTCGGAAAACCTAGGAGGAAGTATCGCGCCGACGTAGGAAATGACTCGGTTTATGATTCCTCCGTCTGCTGCGCTCACAAGTGCATTTTTATCAGACAGCCGCGAGTAAACAATTAGATTTTTCAATGAGGCCCTGATTACGGGATATTTCTATAAGTAAATAGTGCTCGCGTACGTAATCAGTTGAAATCCATCGCCGTCGTACGCAAGTGTCAGCATATATCACTCGGCGTACTTGTTGCGAGACCGTCTAATTGCGAAATATTTTGTATATATGAATAAAAATTAAATATAATTAAAGAGATATCGCTTCGATATATAATACCTTTAGCAGAGTGTGAAGCTCGGCCAGCGTAAGAAGGCGATAACGCAATTTAGAAATATCGAGGACAAATGTCGATCGAAGATACCGAGCGAAGTGACTCAAACAAGAATCCCGCCCTATGTTTATCGAATGCACGATAAACGAGATAAACCCGGCAGAAGGCCGCTTCATAAGTCTCGCGACCTGTACCGGGTGTCACGAACGAAAGTGGAGGCTGCTCACTTTCGTCCTTATTCGTTTTCCCTCCTCGAGATCTCGCTGTCGCGTTCGCGTTGTCGCGAACGGGAAGTGGAAACTCCTCCGCTCTGGTCAGACTCGTCCGGACTCGCGAGTAAATATTGTAGTAAAAATTACGTTAGAATTATATTTCTTCTTCTAATGTTTTAAATTTTACGCGCGATCCATCTTTTGACGATACACGATATGAATATTCAATAATTTTGTAGACAAAAGCCAAACATGCCTAACGAATATATAATAATTTCAATCAAAATTCTGTCTAGTCCAGAATTCTAAAACTCTTGTTGCAATTTTTACTTCCTCTGTGTGTATGGAAGGAGGCATAACGTTATTCAACTCGATTATAAAACATACATTCACGAAATAGACCTAACTAGAAGGAGTCTATACTTGTTACTGATTCGATGCATTTACGACGTGATACCGTCAAATTCATTGTACCGTCCGAAATTAAGTTTTGCATACATAGACGTTTCCACAGCGCGCGTTACATCGCGGTATGGAGACGGGCCAGTTTTCCGCGACTTTCCCACGACTTTTCCTCGCCGATTAATTTCTCGACTTTGACTTTGCATCCCTGCGTGCTCCGCCTGACGACGACGCGCACGTGGCGCAAAAAGCTCGCCGATACTCCTCTCGAGAACGGTCCCCGTCGATCGTGCAAATAAATCCGCGACGGCACATGATGCGCGCTCGCTCGGGCTGATGCATTATTTCATGGAACTGCGGCGAGACTTGTAACCGCACTTGCCACGGTAGGGCAAAGAGAAAGAGAGATGAGGCGCGTGTGGGAAACTCACCGGATGCATTATGTATTTATCGCTTTACTTACTTAGTTGGGAATTACTTTGCCATCGTAATGACTTTCAGCTAGCGGACTATCTTAGGAATGCCATACGCCTGATGTTTCGCCCGAACCGCGTTTTTCTCGGTCGCGACTTTTGCACAGTTAACGCTCTACCTGTCCTATCCGACGAGTGTTCGCGAGCGTCACCGACAACGACTTCGATCCGCGTCGCGTCCGTTGACCTGAGTGTGATGGTTCCGAATTGCAGTCCCTGGGTCGTGGACAAGGGGAGAGAAAAGCTCCTTCAACGGGACCCCAGTTAATCCGACGAATTGTCGTTATCGTCGCAATCATGGAAGTTGCAATGCCCTCGAACATTCGGCTTCCAATAGAGCCCTCAACAATTATTCAATACATATATATCGAAGTCATTGCGTCTTTCTCAAAACGATTCATCAGATCGTATGTCGTGATCATAATGTTCACGACACTGTGAAAATTGTCCATACTCTTTTTAATCATAGAAACAAGCATTATCATCGTTTCAGTGTTCAGTCATTGATATAATCCTGAGACGAGGGACTTCAGAAAATTTTTGCATATTAGACGATAATTGAAAGAATACCTTTGCGTTATATCGCACATATCGCACGCATAGTAAATTATTGGATAATAAGCAATGTTCATACACCAAATACACACAACGCAGACCACTCGCCGGAGTTTAATCTCTGGTGTGATGGATGTATGCTAGAGGCGCTTGCGTAAAGGAGCGTATCCGCGAGCGCGCACGAGTTACCGTGCGGATAATATCGGGAAATTGAATACGCGGAACATATCTAGCATTAATGAACTAATTATGGCGAGGATATATCCAGACGGTGTCTGAGAGCGCCTTCAGCGAGACGACGACGATGCGGATACCGGGGCTCGAGAGCGGCTAAAGAAATCGTATTTATTTTTTCATGCAATCATTTCGCTAATTGCCTCTCGCGCTATGCCCGTGTGCATGAGAAGATGCAATAAATATTCGTGATTAATTAAGGATACGAGATATGCGGGCATTTTATATGAGAGGGGAAGAGGGAGAGAGAGAGAGAGAGGGGGCGAGGAAGAAGCAAGAGAAAAAGAAGAATGCGCTTATAGGTTCTTCTAATTGGACGCATCGTACCGCCGTTTTGCGTCTCGCACAATTTTCTTACGATGGACGGTAGGTCGTGAATTAACGCCTGGACTACGAAAGACGTTCTGCGAGTGTATTTAACTCGCAATCAATCATGAGACGGTCAACAGAGTGTCGTTTTTTAGCGCTTAAAGGAACTCATCGATGTAGTGTTGCGCGACTCGAAAGACACAAAGTGCATCGTTCATTGACAACGTCTGTGAGAAATTC